CTCTAGTTTTTGTGCTTGTGATTTACAATAAAACAGATAATCAACACTCCCTGCTAATATAGATGATTGTGACGTTTATTTCCAAGCAGCTCTCATTCAAAGCAAAACAACATCTTCCACACATAACTGAATACCGCAGAAGAAATTTTCTGGTGTCCAAAGACCCAAAAGATTTCTCAGTGTTCAGGTCCGCCTCTGTCATGGTTCCCCGACGGAGATTGGATCCATGCAACGCCTAACTACGCACACATTAGAGTTTCCCAGAGTGGCCAACGACCAGGTCCTCCCTCTGCAAGTAGGACTGGGAGACTTTCTGTGCATGTCACTGGGCACACCTTCCCAATAACAGGTCAGAAACACTCCTGCTTGCTGCTTCTGGGGTCCACACCAGAATGACAGTGGCACACAGCAATACGCCCCGCCCCTGATGCTGCTCTGTAAAATTCACATAAACACACACCTCAATCGTTTAAGACTGTCGTATCAATTAAGGTTCTGATGACTGTATACAGGGCTGACTTTTACCTTTTTCCTGAAGTAAAAATGGCCAACTTTGTCCCAATAATGCCATGTGCCCATGTTTTCAAAATGTTAAATTCTTATCCAGGGGTCTCTTTAATATTTAATATTTAATAATCTAAGTTGTTCAATGACTAGAAAAGATCTCATTTGTTTACTACATTGCATGGGCTGTATTTTTTTTCTTTCTTGATTGTGAAATTATCCATTTGGCAATCACATTACTAATATGCAAAAGGTTCTTATTTTAATTATAAGAGCAAATGTGACCCATGATTATTAACAAAACTGTTTTTCAAATCAGCCTGTTTACTTCTGGATATAATCAAGTACAATGGGTTATATTAAAACCTTAAAAATACTTATTTCTGTGTGTCTGTGGGCAATTTAAAATAATAAAAGGGATCAAACCTTCCTGCCAATCTAGGTGACTGTGAAATTTAATTATCAGCGGTCATCGTTAAAACACAGGCATATCAATTCCTTTTACACCTAACTGAATCCTCCAAAAGAAAATTCTGAAGAGTTTTCAGAAAACGCATTTTTAAGTTAATGTTAGCCTGTTAGCCTGTTAGCCTGATCACTTCGTTTCTTGTGTGGCAGTTGGTGACAGGCACGAAGACACACTTGGGTGATGTGGTCAAAGACAGCAAGAAAGATTATTCAACTCAGAGAACCTTGAGCTTATGCTGAGCAAATTGCCACAGTTTCCCTCCATGCAAACACCAGTGAATTTCATTCTCTCTGTTGCTCCTTGGAGACAGGGTTAGACCATATTAGGAAGTCAGCTGTTCCTTTACTAGGGCTCAGATGTTCAAGTTCATTCTTTATTCTGGGACCATTCCGTCAAAGTCTCCAGGAGGTGTCCCACACACCAGGATAAAGGACCAATGCCCCAAGAAATGCAAATGAAAGCCACAGACTGATGCAGCTGGAGGCCCGGGTCTAAGTTCTCTGTCTTCCTGCAACGCCTTTCTCTGCCTGCATTCTGGGGCGCCTGCACTCTGGGGCACTTCACTCCCTTGCCATGCACACTCCTCTACAGGGCACACTGCATCGCTCTAGAGCAAGGTCCAGGAGGTGCTGCCTACCTCTGCTGCTGCTTCTCAGGGAGACTCTTGAGATATCAATGCAAGTACTCGAGGGTATGCCTGAAACCTGGAATACCCTCAATAAGTGTTTCTTTAATGGAGTCCAAACTCAAGATTAAATTCAGCATATGCCCTGGCTGGTTCTGTGTCAGCTTGACACTAGCTGGAGTCATCAGAGAGGAAGGAGCCTCAGTTGAGGAAATGCCTCCATGAGATCCAGCTCTAGGGCATTTTCTCAATTAGTGGTCAATGGGGGAAGGCCTATGCTGTTGTGGGTGGTGCCATCCCTGGGCTGGTGGTCCTGGGTTCTGTAATAAAACAGGCTCAGCAAGCCAGGGGAAGCAAGCCAGTAAGCAGCATCTCTCCATGGCCTCTGCATCAGCTCCTGCCTCCAAGTTCCTGTCCTGTTTGAGTTACTGTCCTGACTTCCTTTTAGTGATGAATAGCAATGTGGAAGCAAAATAAACTCTTTCCTCCCCAACTTGCTTTTCAGTCATGGTGTTTCGTTGCAGTGACAGAAACTCTAAGATGGTACATGAGGAAAGAAACGGGTTTTATATGCACTGGGCACTGAGTTTATTTCAGCACCTATGGTTGAAACCATTGAGCACCTTCATGTTGTTCCTCAAAGAAGATAATCTGCTTGCAACAAACATTCTTTTTTAAAGATTTATTTTTATTTATGTGTACATGTTTGTGTGTGGGTGTGGGAATGCCTCATCACACACATGCTTGTGTGTGTGCGTGTGTGTGTGTGTGTGTGTGTGTGTGTGTGTGTGTACATGCACTACATTTGCAGGTATGTCTGTTGAGGCCAGAAGAGAGCATTGATTCTCCTGCAGCTGGAGTTACATGCTGTACATGCTGTACATGTTTCCATGTACCATTAGTACTGGGGATTAAACTCTGATCCTCCAGGAAGAACAGCAATCGCTCTTAACCACTGAGCCATCTCCCCAGCCTCTACATCACGTACTCTTATGCATGACACCCTGTGCCAAAAGACCTCAGCATACTGATTTAATGAGAGAATTGAAGCTAGGAAAAATTAAGTAACCTACCTCAAGATGCCTCACTGGTCAGCAGTGGAGCCAGAATTCAAACACAATGATCTCAGAAGTTTGAAGCTACAAAGAAAGCTAGAATTATCTCCCTTGCTAAGCCTTGAAGCTCAAGCCTGGCCCACAGTTGGCCCTTCAGCATGGTGACTAATGGGTTCACAAAGTGCCCTACTTTCTCAGACTCTGGCCTTTGCCTGAGAGAACCCAGCTGCTCTGAGAAGCAGGCTCTATTCTTTGCTGCTCAACACCTCTCACAGGTGTGAATTGCTTGTGTCTTCTGAATTATTCATTATCCACACAATGGAAAGTGTGCCTGAAAAGAACTATGATTCCATATTTTGCAAGACATAGTGTCTGATCAATTGGTGAACTAAGCTGAACAAGCCCACAGGTCAGGCTGATTTACATAAAATAATAAATAGATTGTTGTCCACTCTCTGCATTTCAGATTTCATGCACTCCCCCAGTTTACAACAGGATTGAAAACAGCAGTCCATGAAACGGGAAAGAAAGCCATGGTAAGCATGCTTCCCCTATCTGCAAAACAATTACCACCCTCTAAAGCTTATCCTGGCTTCTTTGAGCAGGGGAGTCTTCCCAGGGCTGAGTTAAGATTTTTCAATCAGGCTTCTTAAACTGTATCAAGATCCAAAATTTCAGATGCCACAGCTTCTGTAATCCCTGCCTCCAGTGAATCCTGCGATGATGCTATTTCCTCATCCTTTCTCGGTCTGCCCCTTGCTACCTTCCTCTCCCTCCTACCTCCCCCCTGCTCAGTTCATCCAATGGGCAGTCTTTGGAGGGGGAGAAATATGTGCTAATAGGAAGCCAACATCTCTGCATTTTAAATTCAACGTTAGTCAACCAAAATGAATTGAAACGCAGCACCAGTGGTTTGAGGGTACTAAAAATAAGCCATAGCATTTGCTGAGTTCTCAGAATTAAAACCACAGGCGGTCAACTTGTTGCTGTTCTTAATAAGAGCTGACTGCTCTGCCCACTGGCTGCTACTGCCAGCAGCTCAGACTGCCGGACACCTAACAATGCTGTTTTTATTAGTTGGCAGCAATCGCTAAAGGAAGTGTCATTTCCCTGGGACTAAACCCGAACCCCCCCCCCCCCGCCCCAAGAAAAAAATGGCAGATAGCTTTCAAGAGAACACCTTGAACCACGTCACAATTGTGTCTTGTGTCTTGGTCACAGTCACCTTGTGTTTACGGTTTGGTTAGCATCACATCCATAGATGTGGCTCCTTTTATGCCTTCCTTCCTGTCCAGTTCGGGGACCCTCCTCCGCTCAGAGTTTTGAAGAATAATAAAAAGAATGCAAAGGGACAGCATACAGTTTTAATACACTGAGCATTCCCACCAGGACTTCAAGGCTGTCTTTGACCCTTGAGTTCTGTGTACCACACCAAATGTCTTACCAGCTAGCCCTTCAGAGTTCCTTATTAAAGTTCTCAATGACCAAAGGGGTAGTGGAACTGTGCCTAATGCATCATTCTGATTAGAAACCTGTCATGTCCAGAAACCAGTGGGGCTGCCTCCATTGATTCTTATGCCTTCACATTCATTATCATTTTTTTTTCTCTTCAATTAGACCTGCTGATCAACCCTAGAAAAGCTGAAAGCCCTTTTTTCACCCAGCCACATTTAACACGGAAAAAAAAATGGAAGCCCTGAGAGTAAAAGTACAGTGAGTATAAGAACATGTCTAGAAGCACTCACACATACATGCTCTGCCTCTCTGTCTCTGTCTCTGTCTCTCACACAGACACACACACAGTAAACATGCCAGGACTCAGAGAGGCTGGGCTAGACCTCCCTTCGCCTATCCCACTTCCAGTCAGAAGAGCGAGGCACAGTTTCCTCCTGGCTGCTCTCTCCAACCCTTGCCCCAAGTGTCTCCAAGGAGTTAATTTCTGAAACAAACAAAGAAATCGAGTCTGCAGGGAGCAAGGGTTTGCACCCTTTGGCTCTGTGTATCCAGGGTAGCGGGCGCCAAGGCAGACAGGTCCGGAGGCCGGCTTCGCCTTCACCTTCCCCGCGCCGTCTGCCCCAGTTCCAGCTGTGCAGAAAGTGCGCGGCTGCTCTCTGCTACTGCTCGCCAGGAGCCCCAGACCCCTGGTCCTCCCGCCTAGGACGCCACCGCCTCCCACCTCTGCGCTGTCACAGGTCAGACAGGGAGATGCTGGGGCACCGGGGTTCGGGCCACCCTCACAAGTGTCCCGTGGGACGCCCACGTCCCGCGCCTCGCTCTCCTAGAGCAGGAGGAACGGCCACAGGTAGACTCTCCATCCCCGGACGGGCGACCGCGCGCTGAAACTCACCGGAGGACACGGAGGAGCCGGACAGACTGGAGTTGCTGGACGCTGCCATCTCGGCGCTGTGCGTCTCCGCTCGCTCAGTCCCGGTGCGGGCGGCGTCGCCGCTGCCTTCGGCCGGCCGCTCGCAGCCCGCGCGGCCCCCAGCCCATGGCAAAGTCCTGGGGACGCGCGGGAAGCACCGGCCTCCGGACTCTGCCTGCACTTCCTGCTCCACCAGATGACGCGCTGCTGCCGCCGCTATTTATTCGTGCTCGCCGTCCCTCTAGGCGCCTGGGCGCGCTCTGCTGCGGGCGTCGGGGTGGCAGGGGCTCAGCGAGGCCCGGGCGGCCCGGCGGAAGGATGGGACCGCCGCTCTCGCCGTCCCCGCGGTCCCCTCCACTGGCCCGCTCCCTGCGCGCGACTGGAACCTGAGCGCCCCGCGGCTCCCGGCACCGGCTCTCGGGATCCCGCCTCTGCCGCCGCACTTCGAGCGGTCCGTGCAAAGGCGGGGGAGACAGATAGACAGCGACCTCCCCCTTCTCCCTCCTCCCCAACTCGGCTCGCGCGCGCACACAAAGGAAGGAGAGGAACGCCGGCGCTCCGGGCTGAATCTGCTTCGCCGGCTTGACAGCTCCTGCACCCCTGGCTGCAGGGGGAGGCTGCGGACTACGGGGCGGGGACCGACAGGACTGGGAGCCTGCCCCGAGGTGTTGGGCACGCCGCCAGGGACGCAAGGCAGACCGTGCAGCGGTGTACAGCGCTGCTCCTCGGGTTGGAAGGGGATGGAGGAGTCGTAGGAAGAAGGTAGTGGGACTGGCAGCAAGCTCTGGGCTCTGGAGCAGCCACACAGCGGGGGGGTGGGGAATCCAGTAAGCGAAGGCGGAGTCTCTGAGGACAAGGTGCTAGGTTGAAGCAGGCCGGGATGCCGCCACCGAGGTTGGGGAGCGCCCTTCCACCACCCTCCAGTTTGTCCTTTGTTGCTCAGGAACCGAAGGTCCCTGCCCTGCCAAAAGAAATGTCTCCTAAAGCACCCAGGGAGCCAATCTGGCTATACTTAAGTACACCCAGCCACTGGCAGGGACCGTGTCCAAAAAGTCCATTAGGCTTCTGAGACTGGTGTTCAAAGAAATAGGGACAGCCCAAAGGTGGCATCAGGCTTACACAAAGAAAGAGATCCTCTGCCCCTTGAAAGGATCCTCACAAAAGACTAGGACTCTGCAGCAGGTGCGAATGTACCCTTTCAGGACCAGGAGCTGCCTAGGTGTGTGAAAGAAAGACTGGAGCAGGTGTGTGCCATCCTCCCGTATTTAAACCTAAATTAATTTCACTGGGAGGAAATGTCATGCAGATATATATATATATATATATATATATATATATATATATATATATATA